TAAAAATATTAGCGAGATAAATTGTCTTATACTAGTTTTATTAATATTAATATATTAACGAATAATTTAGATTTTTTTTAATTCATTTAATATATTTATTAAATAACATGTAAAATATCTAAATATTAATATTAAAAGTACATTGTTTAATAAGAATTAGTAGATGTTATAATAACATAATTTTGAAAGTACAATGTTGTAATAAGAAAGTCACATCACTATAATACATGTGGACAATGAGGTAGTATGAAAACTTGGTATAATGGGTAAATTTAAATCAAAATGTTACCCAATGCTATAATGGGTAAAATTTTCAAAATACAATGTTCAAATAAAAAATAATTTGAAAGTATATTGTTGTAATAAGAAAAAAGGAAGTACAATGCTATAATAAATAAACTTATAAAAGTAAATTGTTATTTTGTGCATTTTACTCTTTTATTTATTAGGGGTAATAATATTTTCTTTTTTCAATTTATAATACTTGTTATGTTTTTTGTATTTATCAAAATTCATAAGGTAAAATAAAGACTAGAGTAAATTAAATGTTTCGCTGGTTATATGTTTTTAACAATTCTTATATCGGGTTGGGTTCCGGTGAGAAGAAGAGTTAAGATAAGAAGCGTAAGAAAGAATCTCCACCATTGGATGTACACTAGGATGAAATGTACCGAGATGCAACAAACCAGTTTCTCGTATCAACCATGATTCATGGGTGAGTTTGAGATTAAAAGTGATCAAGGTGTTTAGATTCTTTTACACGCTCCTTTGCCTTTTTGTACTTTTTTTTTTTAATTTAACAAATTGTGTCGTTATGGATGCAATTTTGTCAGCGAATTGTGTCCTTAATGCAACCATATGGACTCACTGCGTTGATTTATTTAGGGATCGAACTCATTAAGAAAACTACGACCAGAGGGGTCCAACTCATTAAGATAATGCAACCACATGAATGTAACTCATTAAAAAATCCATCCATAAGAACACGCTTCATTGATTTTTCTAAAAAATGGACAAAGACTGTTAAAAGCACCTAACCAAAAGGATGAAAGATGTAATTTACTCCAAAAACCAAAACCATCATCTAACATCTCAACAAAAATGAGGTGCACTGAGATGCACCAGGTCAATTCACTTCTAAAACATAATTCATAGGTGAATATGGTATAAAAAGTGATTAAGGGCTCAGATTTTTTCTTATACTTCTTACGGGATCTTAAGTCCACTTTGATATACATTTACATATCTTCATCTACCTATGTTTATTATTATAAACGAAAGATACACATTAAAATGATTAAATGCATGTCAAAGTTTGTAAAAAATTGACTAAAAGTGAAAATAAAAGTGTATAAAGGCAGTTAAAGATAACTAGAAGAGTACTCATGCAAAGCAGCGAGATAAATCTTCATTTTAATGTTTAGTTTTAATTATTTGTCTCTATCGATATAATACGATTTTATGTGGTTTTAAGAAAACGATAATGTTTTTATTTTTGAATGAAATATAATTTTTTTTAAAAATAAATCAAAATTAGTATCGAATTAACTATTTAATAGTTCTAGTTTTTTTTGCGTAACTTATTTGATTCAATTTTTATTATAATTTAATTTAAATTTAATAACAAAGTAATTTAATTTTGTTTTAATAATATATTTTTTATAAAAATAATAATTAAACATTCTGTTAGAACTCAATAATTATTTTAGTTGTATTTTAGATATACTATATATTTAAAATAGATGTTTATCTTGTATTTGATTATGTTTATTTGTAGTTAGTTACACGAATTTAAAATTGAGGCTTTAATAAGTTGTACTTATGCAAAACTACTTGTAATCTTGAATTTTAAGTAATATGTATCAATAAACAATACTTCATACATAAAATCTGGTTTTTAAGATTTTTTGTCAAATGTTTTATAATATACTAGAAGGGTACTTGCACAATGCAGCGAGATACATCTTGATTTTAATATTTCGTTTTATATTTTGGCTCTATTGATATTATAATGCGATTTTATATGGTTTTGAGAAAAGGAAAATGTTTTTTTTGAATGAAATATAAATTTGAAAATATCATAAAATTTTGAAAAAAAATATATTAATATAAAATTAACTATTTAAAAATTCATTTTTTGTAATTTAATTTTTTATTATAATTTAATTAAAGTTTAATGACGAACTAATTTATTTTTGAGTTAATAAAAGAATTTTTTATAAGATAATAATTAAGTATTTTGTTAGACTTAATGATTGATTATCTTATTATATTTTAGTTTTTTAATATTTAAAATAATATTTATCATATATTTGATTATGTTTATAGCTTATGTTCTATCACTTGATGAATCTTGAACGGGGTAAGTGTGCTTATGTCTAAATACTTAAAAATGTTATCACAATTCCCCCTGCAATACAATCCAAGTTTTTTTTAAATAGCTATAAAAGACGGTTACAAAATACATATAAAGTAAATCACACTTTTGGTCCCTGTAGTTCTCACAAAATAACACTTGAAGTCCCTACGATAAAATAATTACAGATTTGACCCCTCATGGTTTGCATTTTACAATGAAAATCACATAAACACAAGTTCAATAACAAAAACCATGATACATTTCCAAACCAAAAAATGATCACATTAATACCTTTTCATATCTAAATCCAATGAACACAAACTCATCATCTTCAGAAAAATATATACCATCAAAACACAAGTATTCTCAGCTCATTCTTGAGCTTTTTTAAGGTTCCATGTTACCATAAATCCGCCACTGTTTTTTTCTACGTATATGCACACGACACGACACGACAAAATCATATAACGATAAAAACCAAAAACACCCGATGGGAAAAAAATGAAGCTTTCCGATTAATCAGAATGAGAAGAGGAAAGTAACCGGTGGAAGAATACACAAAAAGACGTACTAAAAAACCCCGAAAAACCTACAAAATATTAGGAACTTGGGAATCCAACCTGTGTTGCAATTCTTTAACCTTCAATTGAAGCTCAGATTTCTGTTCTTTGTAATTCTGAAGCAAATAATCCTTCCCTTCTATCAATTCTTTCAACTCCCCTACTTCCCTTTTCAATATATCCATCCTATCCACCGACTCCATGCTGCTATCGACCTCTAGATACCCGTTTGCAAATCCGTGCGGTTTTTCAGGGCCAGGTTGTGCTACACAAAGATCGGCGATTGCCTTTCTTAGCCTCTGAATCTCCCTCTCGGAATCAAAGAGCTCTCGGTTTGAAGCCTCAAGCTGCGATTGCAGATGGGCAGAATGGGAAAGTTGAGAACTTAAAGAGTTCTGTAGTTCTGCAATCTGATCTTGCATTTCAAGTATCATGTCGTCTCTTCTCTTTAACTGTTGTCGAAGCTTCTGGATTACTTCTCGTTTGCTGAAAATATCGGAGCCGGATTCCGAGACGCATGGGGAGTCGGAGCTGTTTGAGTGGTGGAACGGTTTCTGGGGTAGCTCCAATCTGTCGGGTGAGGACGCCCACATCACGCCGTTTTCTTTGTTGTATACGGGAGCCGAAACGGTCACCAAAGGGAGCACCATCTCGGGACCGGTCTGCAACTGGCCGTTGCGTTGTGGCTTGGTCTCGGCCTCACCTTCAGTTCCTGTTTAAAAAGTTAAAAAGAGACGATGATACCACTATAAGGTCGGCCATAATATATCATACACCCAAAATACCATATACATTTCATTATCCCAAAAAGACAAAAATCACATTATGAAACATCTACTACATCAAGTGCTAAAGAATCCAACTTATTTGAGAACTCTTTGACTAGGGGAAAAGGTCAAAACAACCCAACTATTTCATTTATTATTCATAATGATTTTTAACCCAGAATAATCATGAATATCATGTATTTTCATCATTAATATCATGCATTTCATTAAGAACAATTTCCATCATGAATATATACTACGACATTTCATTATGAATAAGGCATGAATAGTTGGTTCCTAGGTTCTCAAAATATTTACAGTTCTCATTTTAACCCACTGCTAGTTGAGGTGCTAAACAAGAAAAAAGCCGGGTCTTAATTATAATGAATGAATCTACAGTAGATCTCGCCGAGTCATTGACAAGGCAATCAGAGATCCCACCTCAGAAAAACTTTGCTGAATGATCAAGTGAATAAGATAAATATTTCCCACCCATCACATTTAAAGAAGTTCTTGGATGGAGAAAAGACCATTGAGAAGATCTTATACATTTCCAATTTGACTCAAGAAAATCATCAGATTTCGAACCAAATTAAAGCTCCTTCAGCTTGTAGAGAAGAAAAGGAAGCTTAAAAAGGTCCAGCTGCAAGAGCAGTGGAAAGAAATTTAGGTAGAACCAACATTGGTAGAAAGACCAACGTAAGTGGCAGTCCAACAATCTTATCCCTTTGGGTTCAAGTGGCTAACCACCCAAAAAAGTTTGTCCAGACACAAACAAAGGCTCGTCGTTAAGAGGATCTGGACACAACTTCTGGCAAGAATCTTTACAAACCAAGCATTGACAAGGTTAACAAGTGTTTAAGGACAAAATGTCAAAACACTTCTTCAGAAATGAGTGTTCCTGAAGGCCATTGGTATGGAGGAAAGACGATGGAGGATGAAATAAGCTCTATGAGAAAAGACAAAAAGATCATCATGAACCGACAATTATAAGTTGGAAGGTTCAAGCAATTCCAGGAATCGGATAGCAAAGGCTAGGGGCAACAGGGCAGCTGAGGACTGGCATGAAGCCTGAACTAAAAAAGTGGTGATTGTTGGCCTTCTCAGAGATATCACTAGGTTTTCACATGGACCAAATGATTTGCCAGGCCCACAACAGGCATCGATCAGAATCAAAGGCCACCGGAAGATAAAAGATCATACCAACAGTCAAGTGGAAGGTCGTTGATACTTCAAGAAACTGTTCAAGAGCAAGTTCATCAAAGAATTTAACTACCGCAAATGGAACTTAACTGTTGTCATGGTCACAAATCCAAATGACAAGTAGAGGATGATGCCATCCTGCAAAGACTATGATCCACTCTTTGTCATAGACTATAGATCAACTGTAATAATACAAAACCAAGGGTCTGTTCACCAAGTGCTTATCTGGTAAGCGCTTAACAGAAAAGATTACCACTTACCACCCCTACTCACCTTGTTGGGTGACATTCTCAGCCATCAAAATAGATTGTTGGTAAGTGCGTTTTACCTGGTAATCGCTTATTGGGTAAGAGTTTTTTCCCTCACTTACTGGTAAGATCTTGGTCCTTGTTACGCTCTTACCGGGTAAGATTCTCTGTACTTGTCATGTACACTAGTCAAGGTAAGTGACACCCAGTAAGCGCTTACCGAGTAAGCGTTTAGCAAACGGCCCCTAAGTACTCAAATTTAACTTTCATGGATGTCTTCTTCCAGTCATAGTTAGAACTAGATATTGTTAAAATACCATAACCTATAACGAAACCTATCTGCACATTGTAAATCCCATTTGTGTTGAAGAACAAGGACAACCAATTATAGGATGACAAATTGGGTGACAGCTAGTTTTAAGATGAGTATAGAATTGCCATGCAGATCATGAGAATCAAGAACATGTGGGATGCTGACTACTTAGAGGACATGAGTGAATGCTTCCACGAAAATCAAATGAGATTAAGACCATCAAATTCACCATAAGGATAAAAGCAGAAAAACTCCATCAACACATGGAGAGCAAGAAATGACGTAAGAAGGTTACATAAATATTAGATATGGCTTAATTTTGTGCCCTAAAAGAAATTTAAGGGTTGGCATGAAAACATGGTGCCTTACAATCCACCAATGCTTGTGGCTGATGCAAAATATGGTGGCTTAGAAGAACACCAATGCTTGCAAACTGGTCCAAGTGTGGAATACACATATGGTGCAGCCAGTTTTTAAATCAAAAAAATTATTTAGGTACAGCTTAGCCTTATTAAACGAGTCGCTCGTGTGCGAATTGGATGCGAATTTGTAGGGTTCTGTTCGTTTTTTCAATTTCTTGTTATAAGGATTCAGACTTCCAGGCCACAAATGGAACGCTTCAAATACTTAAAAATCATAGATGTAAGGTTAAAAAAGCTTCAAATATTTACATTATGACCTATGTTGTTAATTGCGGCGCTATTGCAGCGGTGCAATAGCGGATTGTGGACTAAGGTAAAATTGCGGGGGTTAAATTGTGGTGAAAATTGTGTTTCCGATATTAGCGCAATTGACCGACATTCGAGCGATATTTAAGGTGAAATTGCGGACCTATATTCTGATATTTTAGCTTGGGCCTCTTTAGAACCATGTTGACTCGGATGCTGAACCCATTGCTTGCGGTTAGCTCGTTTATGAACACTTTTCCTATTTTGTTTTGTGAAACTTGTTTAAGTTGATGTTCTAATGTTGAAACTATATTTTTACTTAATGCATATGGTATGTTTATGTATGCGTGTGTATATATATATATATATATATATATATATATATATATAATTCTAAGAAATATTATATGAACAACTATTTTTGGACCGCTATAACTGCTATTTCAAATATCGGTCCTGACTGCAATTTTGTATTTTCACCGCTATAACAGCATAGATTATGACTACACATAAAACCTTCACAGCTTGGTTTCTACTTCTTCCCATCCCACTCTTTATTTTCTTCTTCGTGTGTATTTGTCTCCTCTACTTGCTTATGTTGCATATCTGCACTGATTGTTGCTTATTGTGCAGTTGGTCTCAATATCTTTAGGGTATTTATTTATGTCTTCTTAGGATGAGACAAGTTAATAGAGTTTGATCAACGACTTTTTGATGTATTGCTTTGGTATGGGTTTAGATGTTTCAACGACATTTCTTTGTTAAGTTATTTGCCAATTTAATTTAAAGAATATCTACATGTACATTCACGTGTGTGCACAAGCCCACAACAGAATTGTAGTTAAAACACCAAATCCAAACACCCATGTGTGTGCTTCTTATATAAGCAGCAAATATTTACTTCTTTATATATACAGGTAAGACAATAAATAAGAACCAAAGATTGCAATCTGTCAGGTCTTACATCAAAACAAAAACTAGAATCAAGCATTGCAACTTAAATGGACCTACAAAATTCATACCAGACATGCAATTGAAGCAGCCGTCATCCTGTTCAAAACAACACAAGTTTGAATGTGAACGACAATTTCCTGACCTCTTTCTGACTCTGAGTTTCCCATTCTCTGCATTTTTTAACAACTTCAGAAAGTCAAAAACAGTACAAGGTGAAGACCAAAGGCAAGCCATTTGACAGCTTATAATACCTTTTAAACTACCATTGGTGTTTTCTGGTTGCTTCAAGTCCAGGATCTGTTTGAGCCTGTAACCAAGACGAACAGACAGTGTACTTAACAAAGCACCACCGGCTATGAGAATCCAGTTTGGCCCTTGACCCTGAAACTTCTTTGACCTCTGTGCACCCAACATCTCATTGGTATTCGGTTTCATCTTTATGTGCTACTGACGTAAAGCATGAAAAGTTCTTATTCATCCAAGATTAAACCTGCATTGATGTTGCATCATGATGTCAGTACCATCAATATCAAAAGTACATTATGTCAAGTGTATCAACAGAATAACTAATGGTGATGGAGGGAACTAAAGTCATGCATATAAAAGTTAACTAGAATTGAAGCATGAATATAAGATGGACTTTCAAGAACATATCAAATGAAAGGAACAGAATAGAATATTAATCCACTTCTATAGCCATAAAAGAGAAACAGACTGGAACTTGCCATTGGCGTGATTCAATCAGATACGATATAGAATCCACTACAGGGTTTCTGCCTTTTCATAACCAGAAACACATTTTACCCAGATTGCAACTGTTGGCAAACCAATATGAGAGGATTAGCGGAGAGGACATACAAATGGCAATACTACAATTGGCAAAAATCAAACCAAGGGTAAAATGTATGCAAACCGGACCTTACCCCAAAGAGTAAGGTGGCTGTTTCTTTGAAGACCCCCCGCTTGTGAAAAGTGTGACAAAGAGAGAAAGTCGGAAATGATAAAGATTTGAAATTCTGGTTAAGAGAAAGCAATAACATACAACCAGAAGCAGGTAAGAGAAAAACAATGATGGGGTCTTTAGGCCAATTTCCAAAGCTATTTAGGGCTAGATAGATCTCAACAACACTACTTCTTATAATGTTAAAAGTACTTCTTTTGTCTGTATCAATTACATGCTACCTAAATTGCCAAATACCTGACAAAACATTCAGACAGATGATGGACTCAAAAATACAACTTCAACATAGAAGATTAAAAACTTCCCTTCACTTAGGCCACTTCTATCATGCCCTTACACAAAGAATCGCTTGTACCTCGTAACCACTACCAGCTATCATTATATGCATTTAGAATCTAGATGACAGTTGAAAACATTCTACAAACTTTGAGTTCATAAACATTATTTAGCTAATTTCTCATAGAGCAACAAGTGGCATATGTTCATTAGAAAGGTAAAATGTACTAAGCTCATGCTTGTCACAACAAAAAAGATCCCAATGCCAATTAAACCTAAGAATATACCTCAAAATTTACTTTCCATCAAAACGAAATTAAATACAAACCTACATACACCAAAATCTTTGTCTTCTCCATTACAATAAAAATCTAACAACGTACATACGAATCAAACGAATTTGGAGTTGAAACGACAACAGAAAACGATCGCCACAAAAAGGGAAAACATCAAGTACCTGAGTGAGTAAAACAAAAAAACACGTAAGGAGTAGAAAGCACAAGGCCAATTATGAAGCTCAACATACAAAAAAGTGATTAGAAATTAGGGTTTTGTGCGAAACACACACATAGAGATGGAGAGAGAGAGAGAGAGGGACGTAGGTGACGACTTACCTTCAAAAAGCAAAAGTGGAACTATTGACGAGGACAAAAGTGGAGAAAGACAGATAATAAATGCGTGGCAATAAATAGATAAGCTTAATGATTGGAATTAGTCCAAGATTAGAGAAACCCACCTGGTGAACAGAGCCACCGGAAGAATCGAACACCGGAGAAATAATTTAGGTTAATGTTAGGTACGACGACGACCGAGTTCCGGCCGATCGGCGGCAGGTGAAGAAGGTGAGGGAGAAGCGGCGGTGAGGATGTTTTAACCCTATTGGTAAAATTGTTGGAATGCAGAACTACATCGCCTGAAATGATTCTACGTTTATTAATTTTTTTATTTTTTTATTATGTATTTTAATAACAACCATGCGATTTCTATTTTAATATTACTACAAGATTCAATATTTTTATTAAAATAGAAAGAAAAGAAATAAATATTGAATATATTATTATTTTACATAATTTTTTAATATATATTAAAGTTATAGAATATTTTATTAATATAATTATATTAAATTATTTTTAAAATAAAAAAAATTGGTATCTATATTTTTTATATCTATATTATATTATAAAATATTTGACAAAAACTTTTAAAAACAAATTTTTTGTGTGTGAAACATTATTTATTGATGTATATTATTTAAAATTTAAGATCACAAGTAATTGTGCGTAATTATAACTTATTAAAGCTTCATGTTTGAATTCATGTAACCAACTGCAAATAAACATAATCAAACAGAAAATAACATCTCATTTTAAATATAAAAAAATCTAAAATATAATTAAGACAATCATTGACTTCTAATAAAATACTTAATTATTAGTTTTATAGAAAATTATATTATTAAACCAAAAATTAAAAAAAAAATGAGTTAAAGAAATACACAAAAAATCATAAATTTTAAATAGTCAGTTTGGTACTAATATCAATATTTTTTTTCAATTTTTTATGATATCTTCAATTTTATATTTTATTTAAGAATAAATCATCGCTTTCTCAAAACCACATAAAATTGTATTATAACATCGACTGAGACAAAAAGAAATAAAACAAAACATTAAAATCGAAATAAGTTGTATTTTTTTTAAGAATTACATGAAGACTAATAGTTTATAATTGAGTTGTTTTGAAAATTAATATTTTTGCAGAGTTTGAAAAATATGTTCAATTTTTTTCTGTGAATAATCATTTATTATTTTTAAATCATGTATTTCTAGTCTTGTTTTTATAACTTTGTAACAAGTACTTATTATAATATAAAAATCAGATTCTAAAGGGGTGTTTGAGATCGCTTTTAAAAACAACTTATTGACATATTCCGGTGTGGTACCGGTAATAAGCATTTCTGAGTGTTTGGATAAACAGCTTATACCGGTGCCAAACTGGTAATAAGGAGTTTTTAAAAAAGTTTAATCATTTTAACTTATAATAAGTTGATAAATACTTTTGTAAAAAAGTATAAGCTATTTCAAAGCAATCCCAAACACCCCCTAAGTTAAAACCACATAGGAACCCCATGAGAAACCAAAAAAAATGCAACACAAATAAAGTGCATATGCCATTTTCCATGAGAAACCCATTGCATGAAAGAGGAAATTAGAACAAGACAGCAAAAGAGAAGGGAAAAGAAAAGGAAAAATAGAAAGATAAAGAGATATCTATATCTAAACATACTCTCTACATGGTTCAACAAAAGAGCTATGTAGGACACTCTAGCCCTGCTGGGTCCTACACAGCCTACATCAGTATATCTCACTCGAAAGCAGGGTCTGAATGTGAGATATACACAGACCTGTCATCTACCCAAAAAATAGACCTGATGTTTCCGTAAAGATGCCAACTCATGCAAAAGGGTGACCTACAAAGTCTACAACACTACCTGCCCTAGTTAAAACAATATCCTATCTTGGTATACATCCAAAGCTTGTATCACCTTTTCAAGGAATAACTTCCTGTGCAACCTATACCTGCATTACAAACACACATTTCGATAAAATAAATCAACCCAGTATATCTCGCTCAGAAGAAGGGTCTAAGAAATCATTTAGTTCGCCTACATCCATTTCATATGCTGAAACCAATATCAGTTGATAAACCCCGACCGTGTTGCAACCTTCTTGTGTTTACAAGGGTCGGTGGATGGAAAACTTTGTATGCAAGAATTTCCACAAGTGACTAAAACCCATGATTTTTAGATCATAAAGGAGTAACCTTTACGGGTATTTGTCAATAGACAAGAAATTGAGAACAGTGGCACGTACTTGATTGCAGCTTCGCGGGTCCAGCTCATTTCTGGCGAAGAATCTAGAGGGGGGAGGGGGAGCAAAGTCTCGTTTTAGAAATCAATTCAAGGAACTGAAATGATAACGTTGTAGGTGAAGAATCAAATGAAACCAGAGGAAATTAATGAAATTCCTACAAGTAAAGCCTTCTCCACGAAGAGGGAGCACCGTTTAAGGCCAGAATGATTTTCAAAAGAGCTCAAATGGCCGAATCCTGAGCGATGTCGAAGTCTTTATGCATGATTTACAATTCACCTTAGTAGATTTTCTCAGGTTTTTTATTTTTTTCACTTTGGATAACCATGGGTGTCTAGGCCAGCTTGCGTGCACCTCCATCAATCCCATGGGATCCTGAAGATGGCAACCAAGAAAATTCCCAGTGGCCTTAAGGAGACTCGAACCGGCAACCTATAAGGAGGAGCCCCAGGCCTAACCTTTATTTTCCGGTTGAGCCGGCTCTAAGAAGACTCGAACTGGATTTGCTAAGTTTGAATCCTGCGGTTGTGGTTCATCGGGTGAATCACCAAGGGTCAGTGAGGGTGACGGAAATATTAATGCCCTTGGTGTACTCATCTTCAAGCGAGTTTTCTGGTTCTTCAAACAAAATATTAATAAGAAGACAGACAGTCGGTAAAAGAAATGTTACCCAGAATATGCTGGTCTTGCTCAGAAGTGGTGCTATACTCCGCAAGCATTTCTTGACATTCTTCTTGCAGAGCTTTCGCGGATTTGATCTCTAAGCTTGGAACCGGAGGGAGATCCCCTTCTGACCACATTGGCAATGTTCTGGCAGCTGCGATAACTGCTCCATCCACAAAATTATCTCCTTCATTTGCTAATTTGGCTGCCGAGAAAAAAGAAGGAATATTACCCATAGAAAAAGACAACTTGATAGTTACTCCCTCAGTCCCACAATAAGCGTCCACGTTTCTATTTTAGTTTGTCTCATAATAAGTGTCCACTTCAAAAGTAAGTGCCTTCTTTCCTATTTTACCCTTAATTTACGAGATGGGGAAATTCATTATTCTGTCTATTATTAAGGGTAAAATCATCATTTGGTTAATCAAAAAGTGTAATAATTACACATTTCTTAAAATATGCCTTTTTCATTGTGGACGGAGAGAATACTAATTGTTACTCCATCAGTTCCAAAAAGAAGGGGTAAACTTGGAGTTTTGAGATCAAACATACTATTTCAACCTTCAGAGTTGATCGGGGGTTAAATTTTCAAGAATAAAAAATTGGATTTGAACATTAGTATAGTTGACATCAAGAGCCCAAGTGTATTATCCAAAATGCGGAAAGGGTTGTTTACTTACAGCTTAATGAGCTCGATGGTGTGGGCAGCTTATTCTCTCAGCCAAATAGGAATGTTTCTTTTGGCTTAATCGTTAACCCATTAAGACAAAATGGCTACATGGAAGAAGCCAGGACCCCTCACTTGTCCTCGTTAAGCCACCTCAAACAAATTAATACCAAAAATGCCCCAGTATTAATCCAAATCTCTCTCTTTGCCTCCCTCAAACCCATCAGTCTCCCGTCCCTTAGACACACAAATTATCCGGACAAACAACTTAACCCATACAAGGCTTAACAGAAAAAAAGTAAACAGCCACAAAATTCTACATATGAACAGAAGTTAGTTAAATCATACCATTATGGTAATATTCTTTGGGGGAGCCACATATGTTGAAGGCTGACAAGAAGGAATCCAAATGGATCTTTGCATTTCCAGAAAATGGAATGACATCCCAAGGATTCTGCAAGTATTAAAACAAAAAAATTGGAATGTTGAGAATCAATTGTCATAAGCTCAAAGTTGAAATGGCAAATAGGAGGGGTATACAGTGGAATTATACTCGATTCCTTTCTTCAGCTCCAATAAAGAATCCATTTGACACAAAAAAGATACAGCATTTTAGAAAAATTAGGATCCACTTCTTTAGATTATTACATTTTGTGGATTCCATTCCCCAACATGAGGATAGCCTTGCCTCTATCCAAACGGGGACCACAGAATCTAGATGACAAATGAGATCCCAAATTGGTTGGGGAGGGGAGCATAGGTTGTCTTATAAGGGATTGGATATCTCCTCTATCGGACGTGTTTTAAAACCGTGAGGCCAGGTGTAAATAAAGCGGACAATATCTGGTACAATTGACCTAGATGTTACATATGATATCAGAGCCGGAACCGGACTGACGTGCCAGCGAGACGTGGGATCCGGGGGGGTGGATCGTGAGATCCAACAGATTTGGGGACAGGAACAAAGGTTGACTTACAAGGGACTGGATACCTCCTAACCGTGAGTCCAGGTGTGGATAAAGCGGGCAATATCTTGTACGGTTGGGCTCCTGGCAAGCAAGTGCTAAGCGGATCCATCTAAGTGAAAGAAGGGCTAGAAGAGCATCCATAGGAAGAAGAGGACGGAAGAGTAGTGCACCTGTGCCTGGGAAATCGGCTAAATAAATGGGACTAGTTTCGCAGGAGATTCTAGGGAACTTACCGCAGGTGTCGAAAAGCCATATCTTTGCATAAGCATATTGTTCCTCATACCATTCGTGTAATTAACGGTCATCTGAAAAGACAATGACAAAGATGAGCAAGATCCATTAAAATGCATTGTTTAAGAGAAGCAAGATGCAATGCAGAAGAACTTCTTTGGAATGTACTACCTAAAGAGAACATTGAATATACTTGAAATACTATTTTTTTTATGTAGTAACCATGTTCTATGAGATTCATAAAACGAGGGAAATGCGCAAAACACACAAACCCTGTAGTCCAATACTTGTATGCAGTAGAAGACAACGGGTTTCTCGTTCAAGAGATGAAACAGAGGCCTCACGTAAGACGATATGAATTAGACATCTTCTAAGCAAACTAAGATTTTCTCTAAAGAAACCGATATGACTATATTATCATTCACATTAGAAACAATCAGGTCTTCCATGATCAAACAGAATATAGAGGTTGGCTGACTGAAATCTTGCCACAACTTGAGGAGTGTTAGATGCATTATTTGGTGTTGGTTTATAGCATACAGGCCCATGACTCAATTGAGTCCTAAATATACACGGGTTCTTCCCTTGAGAAATAAAATGTGATATTCATACTTAAATCCCCTAATCGTAGATTTCCATGCCAAAGAGGTTGTTGAGTAACAATAATAATGAATTTTTACCTCCTCCCCCTTTTTAACCCTTCGTCCAGCAATTGTCATCACCACAAACATGCGGTCCTTGAAACGCCAATGGAAAAAGCAATTTGGCTGACTAGAATGGCTCAGCATATCTGCAAAATAGGACCACATATATTCCATGAGTACACAAACAAAATGGCCAAAAGCTGGTATCCAAGTAATATTGACGAGGATATGTGTTCAGTTAAGGAATGATCCTGACTCGAGGGAATAAGGATATAAAATAAGTAATTTGAATGAGAGCTATCTGGTCTTCGCTGTTTGGTCCCCTGTATGTATAGCTCTCGCACAACAAAAAGCATCTCTTTTTCAATTATATTTTTTGATTGCACCATACCATTCTAGAAACTCACTTGGACCCACTGATCTAAAACATTTCAAATGATAAAAACACCAAGTTTGAAAAAGGTATTTCCTAGCCAATTAGAGGATAACTTCTACGAATTGGCATGAGGAAAACTTCAGGAAAGGGAAAAGTTGGTGATATGTGAGGTATGTCATGCCAAAGAGAAAAAGCAACACTTCTCTATAAATCTTAACCGAAGTCCCAACCGATGGCTGATATGGGGAACTATTTCTATCAACTTTCATGACGATTGCTGTATGTAACAGAAGGCCATTACTATAGCCATAAATAAGCTACATATATATAAACACGCACATATATAGGGGCAGGTTCATTTAGGAACCTTAAATGTTTTAAGAACCGAGGAACCACCTATTTTGTGAATATTATAAGGAATATTCTGTCACAACATTCATCTTGAATATTTTATCACGTCATTTTATCATGAACACTCACAAAAAGGGTGGTTCTTGGATCCCAAAAATATTTTAAGGTTCCTAAATGAACCTCCCTCTTATATTAATTATACGTATGTATATATCTATACTATATTATAAAGCATTTGATGAAAACTCTTAAAACAATTTTTTTATGCATTAAGTACTGTTTATTGATGCATATTACTTAAAATTCAATAGTACAAGTAAATTGTGCGTAAGTACAACTTATTAAAACTTTATTTTTGAATTCGTGTAACTAACTGTAGATAAACATAATCAAATACAAGATAAACATCTCATTTTAAATATAAAAAATTAAAATATAATTAGGATAATCATTGAGTTTTACAAAATACTTAATTATCATCCTTACAAAAATTATATTATTGAACAAAAATAAATTACTTTGTTATTAAATCTAAATTAAATTTATAATAAAAATTGAATTAAAGAAATTACACAGAAACTGAGAACTTTTAAATAGTTAATTTAATACTAATATTGATACATTTTTTTTTCAAATTTATATTTCGTTCAAAAATAAAAAAATTATCGTTTTTAAAACCACGTAAAACCGTATCATATCGACAGAGAAAATGAATAAAATGAAAAATTAAAATCTAGATATATCTCGCTGTATTGCGCGAGTAGCCGAGTACCCTTCTATATATATATATATATATATATATATATATATATATATATATATATATATATATATATATAATATGTGTGTATACATAAGCATGCTGAACATTCATCTTGGACAAAGAGCTAACACTAAATACTGATTTCCTATACTAACAACTTGTCCCAACCAGTGGAGAAAGTCAAGTAGCTTTTATGTGTAAAGATAAACTAATTGGATCCAAAAGATATGATGATGAGAAATAGTCATAAGATTACACACAGCTAAGTCGATGCTATATGATTGCTAATGAAACTCTGCCATTACGGCATTTTCTTCAGGTGAACATAATAAAATACATCTCTCACAATTTTAGAGTTCGTGAGTTTGTACAAATTTCATCACTGTCTAGATTGATTAACATTGCGCCATCAAAAAATAAAATGTTTGCACATACTGCATCCCACAGGTTAATTTGAGCCAACAAATCATAAAAACCCTCTTCCATTCTGGAATTTTCTTCAAGAATGGATCATAAAAATACATCCCTCACAATTGTTAATCTTAAGTTCACGAGTTTGCACAAATTTCCTCATTTGCCAAATCGATCAACTTTGAGCCGCCATTAAAACATAAAAAATCTTGCACATGGTTATTTTCAAGAAGCAAACAAAATAAAGTTACCTTCAACTCTCTTATAACACCACCTAAAGGCACATGCTATTTAATAGAGGGAGGGGGGAATGAAAACCCTATTTAGTTTAGGCACGCACTATTTGTTGTAATTGATACACTAAAGATGAAGAGAATTGAAAATGTAGAAGAGCAGAAGTGAAAAAGAAAGCCTATATGATCAATCTTCTTTAAGCCATGCCAAGATACCAAGGAAATATAAGTGAAAAATATTACCCGCATAAGGAGCAAGCATATTTGCATGCTGAACTAATGAACCGACTCTTATTTTAAAGCCAATCTGTCTAGACTGTGCCATACTAAGTGCCCACATAAATCTCTCTGGCTCTCGAGCAAGCCGCTTTACTTTCAGAGGCATAGCAGAGTGCTGAGAATATATACATATGAAAATAGCCGCTACTGTTAGAAAGAAAAACCAAGAAATACGATGAAAATTTTTAGGGCAAAATGCGCGAAATAGCAACCTACTTTTACAAATTTCCTTATGATAGCATTTACTTTTAGTTTTTCTTATTACAACAATGTACTTTCAAAATATTTTTTATCAAGGCATCGTACTTTAAATTTTTTACTCGTTATAGCATTGAGTAACCTTTTAAATTAAATGTACCCATTATACCAGGTTTCTTTGCCACCTCATCGTCCATGTAGGCTGTCCACATGTACAATAGTGCTTACGTGACATTTCTTATTATAGCATTGTACTTTCAAAATTACTTTGTTATAACATCACCAATTTATATTATAGCGTTGTACTTTTAATATTTTTCTCATTTAAACATTGTAAATTTAATCAAATATGTTTACTAAAAATTATAATATCAGAATTTAAACATGTTTACGAAAAATCACTATTTCACGAATAAAAATATTCATAAAAATTATGAAATTAGAATTTAAACATGTGTACTATTCAATTATCACTTTTTTATGAATATTTTTATCCGTGAAATAGTGATCCTTTGTAAACATGTTTAATTTCTGATATTATAATTTTTAATAAACATATTTGATTAAATTTACAAAGTTTAAATGATAAAAATATTAAAATTAAAAGTACAATGTTGTAATAGAAATTGGTGATGCTATAATAAAGTAATTTTGAAAGTACAATGCTATGATAAGAAATGTCATGTCAGCACTATCGTACATGTGGACAACCTACGTGGATGATGAGGTGGCAAAGAAACCTGGTATAATGGGTAAATTTACTTTAAAAGGTTACCCAATGCTATAACGAGTAAATTTTTGAAAGAACGATGCCCTAATAAAAAATATTTTGAAAGTGCATTGTTGTAATAAAAAAAACTGGAAGTACAATGCTATAATAAGAAAATTTGTAGAGGTAGGTTGCTATTTCGCGCATTTTGCCCAAATATTTGTAGTGATATCAACTAACAGACTGCCAAATTACCCAATTCTTTTCCCAAAATTCTAACCCGCGTGCTTTCTCTTTTCTCATGATTGAAGCAAGATTCTCATCCTGTAGCTCGTTGAGGTCATCCTGCAGCATGTCAAAAGAACGATTTCAGAAGCCTGATATGAAACATATGCTGTTTATAAGTTACAACATTACACAATTCTAAATGATTAGAGTTCAAAATGTGATCAATTGAATGGGAAATATTAAGTACATGGGCTTGTCAACTAACATTATATGGTCTGCTGATACACATTGGTCATGGTACATTTCTGTTCTTACATTTTCAAAATCAATTTGATGCGATGCACCAAAGAGTTGATTACTTGACTGTAACATATTCTATACTGAAAGCATTCTACACATATACAAACCTCTGTAGCTAGAAGCAAGCTAGTGCATTCCTCAGCACTAGGTAAAAAATCATAATAGAGTTGCCAGAAATTCTTCTCACATTCAAATGCATATAAAAGAAGACACGTCATTCTGAGGTCCCAATCTTTCTGTCAAAGAAATCAAATCACCAAGTGAGAAAAGATCATAGAATAGAAGAAAGAAGTTTATATATTAGCACCAACCAGCTTAGTCGCTTATCTGGACTGAATCAAGTTCAAACAATTTGAACAAACCGCAGGCAGAAATTTACTTATCATTGGCAAAAACTTCAACACGAGAAAAAAGAAAACGGGAAAGATATAGAAACAGGGTGGCTACCTCTGGATCTGTTGAGTTGATAATGTCGAATATTGGATGCCCAATAGGTATGATGTCTGGAAAAAACATCCATGGAGTTTTTTGGCTTATAGTTAACATCAACTCCAATGGGATCTCCATGACCACCTGAGAGATCAAGCAGAAAACAAAATTACTCTAACATTGTTCTTTTAGGATGCGTTGGTAAAATGGATAGGAATGGCGAGTGTGAGGTAGGCTGGTGAAAGAATTGTGGAAGCATTGGAAGATTTAATTTGACATGGGTAGTTAGTAATTTATCAATCTTGTCCCATGTCCCTGATTTTTGTTCCACCTATTTTGATGGGACAAACATTCAGGGCCTGTTTGTTAGCAGCTTGATAAGCTTAATGGGACTCACAACTTATTCGATCAACTATACATGACTGTTTGGTAGTAGCTTATTAATATAGAAAGCGACTTATTCAATAAGCTTCTAGGGAGGAGTTTTTTTACAGAAAGCCAAGTTTTTCTTGAACTTACTCTTCCCAATTAAAAAAAATGTTCCTTCCATCTATGAAAAAACCCTCCCAAACAAAGACCTTCCCAATCTATACAGTGTAATCCACACGACAACTTTATACATACAGGACTTAATGGAAAACCAACCAAACAGCCCCTCAGTCCCATTCTGTCCCAGTATAATGTCGCACCAAACATGAGACAACCTGCTGCGGCCTTTTCTAATGCCACTGGGATTTTGTTAGGGGGAAGCTCACAACAAGTTATTGTTCTGCCTTGTCCCACATACATAATCAATAAACAAATTGGGATAAAGCAAACAACTAATATACAAAAGAACCACTGTCATTTAGATCATGGTGAGTTATTATGAGTTGCATGAGCACAAAAGTAAATGCAAGATGACTCACCTTGGCACGACGAGTAGGCTCAATATCTCTCGAAGCATAGACTCCCATCCCATTTGGGCCTTCCCTGAATTCCACCCCATAGGTTCTCACATCTCTAAGAAATCCCATTTTTATAAATTCAGGGTCTACTAGCTCGAACTGTTTGAAAAAATACATAATTTGATCAATATAAAGAGCAGAATTCCAATTTCTGCAGAAAGAAATGTGCATGATTCAATAGATTAAGATCACTAAATTACTAATTATCTCATTAGAACCACGGATAACAAATGAATACATAAAAATCTAGAGTTCCTATCAAATTTCCAAGATGAAAACCGATGGCATAAGACTGTTTAGTTTGAAACAAAGTGAACACAGCTCAAATGTAGATAAAATCCATTCTTGTTACCTTGGAAGCAAGCGTGTCTTCTTGTGGAGACTCGGTTTGAAATAGAGGAAAACCAGTAGAAGAAAGAGTAGTCTCGATAGTATCAAACGATGCTCTCGCTTTAATGCCACCGATTCTCTTACTACTGGTACATTTCTGCATCAAATTGGGTTTGGATATCGTCAATCCATTCTTCAAATTCTTCCCTAACTGCTTCAATTCCAACAAAATGAAGAAAAATTCCTATTTCACTGACGATTACACACACATGAACACGCAAAGAGAAAGAGAGTTCACCTGATTGTTGTAGATGAGGCAATTAATGGATTGCTGAAGAAGAATCGAGGAAACCATTGCTTTTTTATGATGCAAATTATGTAATGACTTCAAGTTTCAGTGATGAATCTTCTTAGACTTCATTTTTGGTTCGAATTACTTGGTGTTTGATGGGTTATACACCAGTGTTGAAAAAAGCAAGAACTGTTTGAAGGCTAACGCAGCAAGGCGTTATCCTTAGAATCAAATATTGTGGAAATATCATCTAGACCCCCAAAGTATGAGAAAATTCTTTATGTGACCTATTAGTTTGAAAAATTACTATTTTAGTCCTTAAAGTTGACGATATGATGGGTTCTTTGTAGGATACCAATTTCCGTCTAAAACCCGTCTATTTGGTCCGAGAGGGATTCAATCGAACCTTTAAAACTTTATGGTTATGAGTTCAAGATCAATACTAATAGAAATTATGTATACTGAGAGGGAGGATAATCAGAGAAGTTCATCGATTTGCAAGAAGACAAAAATTTCTAATATTACACGTTATTACATGTGATACGGGCACGTAATCATATATGATACAGCATAACTAAAAGGGACGCGGAAGACTTGGTGTACACGACCAAAGTCCTTCCACTATATGTCTCTCAACGCAACATGTGTTGTATCATATATGATTATGTGTTTGTATCACATGTAATCATGTGTGATCTTGGAACTTTTGTCTACTTGCAAATTGACTGTCTTCTCGTATAGGAACTACCAAACACTTACAAACCATACAAATCAATCTCAATTGTTTGTGTTTATATCAAATTAATGTCAAGGATGTGGATTAAGGGGGTGTTTGGAATTGCTTATTTGAAACAGCTAATACTTTTTTACAGAAGTCCTTATCAACTTATTATAAGTTAGAAATGTTTAACTTTTTTAAAAACTTTTTATTACCGGTTTGGCACCAGTATAAGCTGTTTATTCAAATACTCAAAAATGCTTATTACCGGTGTCACACTGAAATAAGTTAATAGGTTGTTTTTATAAGCAATCCCAAACACCCCCCCTAAATCGGCTCTAAAATTAACTCTCAACCTTATATACAACTGATTTTCTAATCATCTAAAAATTTCAACATACAGAAAGTCAAAGGCCAAGATCAGTCTATACGATGTATAACACCTACATGATTTGTATTGGAAATGTCCTATATATATATATGTAATTTTTCGTTAGTTAGACCTATTAATTTACTTTTTAAATGGACTAGATTGTACCTTTCCCCACTGGACCAAGCCAGATTGTTAGTCTGGGGCAGTATTTATCTTGCCAGATCTGCATTAGTCTGAACTTTTTCTCGAAAAGTGTTGACCAGGTTTTTTTGAACCGACCCCGTGCAACTCTGCATACACTTATGGGTATAAATATACGCCCCACATATATACACATACCCATAAGAAAGCTATTCCATCATTTACATATGAAATTAACATAAAATCGAACAAACTTGTCTCCTTAATATGTTTGAATCACTCTAAATCCTCTACAACGTTTGATACATGGTTTTCCAATAGCTTATGAGGAGGGTAATACTGAAAGGTCGATATATTATCTGCACTTACATACACAACCTTATACACGTCATACTTCACAAAAACTGCAGCATCTTGAAAGCAATTTTCAAGCATTTCTCGATGATCATTGTTCAGTAGAAATGAATAACAAGATTGAAGATTCTTCCAAACGTAAAAATTGGCCACCATTGGCTGACTTGCACACTTTAAGCACACCCCGGCAACGACGCCATCCATTGTAGGGAAATAAGACTGGAATATGGAAAAACACGCGTACCCAAAGTCTTGCTCGTTCAATTTGGTGTCAGGAAGGAGGTGGTTCGAGCTGAAACAAATAGTGTCACCCGTTGAGAACTTTGCAGCCAAAGATCCGTCCTTTGCCACACCACCATAGGTGACCATGAAGTTATGGTTAAGTAACACAGCCATGTTCTGTAGATTTGTCAACGCCGAGAGCTGAAATAAGAAAACATGGTTCGATATCATGTCATGAAGATAAAAGCCATTAAAAATTGAAATGAAATAATACACTACAACAAAAATCTATAGGATATCAAATATGTCTAAATATTCTACTAGACTGCTCTATATAACTTATAAACTTAGAGCATCTCCAACAGATTCTCCAAAATAGAGAATCAAAAGTTAAAATCTCCAAAGAAAATTTATATTCATCTCCAACAGTTTCTCCATTTTCAAAATTACAATATGAATTATATTATTAAAATATGCAGTATCTTTCATAAAATATTATTTATCTTTCTTACACAGTTAATTTAAAGGATTCTCATTAGTAGAAAGAAAAAAACATAATTTCTCTTTCATACGTAATCATTTTTCGAGAGTTATCCAAATTTGTAGAATTTCACCATTTCTCTCATACTTTCTCCATTTCGAAGAAGATTTTGGAGAATCTGTTAGAGATGCTCTTAAGTTTATAAGATCAAATAATTGTGCATTCTATGTAAATGTGTTACAATAAGATGTTAAGACGTCTTAAGAAATTCTAGCACAATTTTTTGATTATGTAGATATAAGGGGTTGTTTATTTATCTATTAATAGTTTCATTAAGAGGCAATCTCTGAATCGTTAAGATGTGAATCTTGTTTGGCAAAAAAAAAAAAATCTGTCTCTTAATGGTTCTAAAACTCTCTGAATGATTTTGTATCTTGTATCTTCCTTAACCATTAAGAGCCCAAATTTCATTGTACACAAGTATCAAACAATTATATTTCATTTTGGATTATATCATGAGAGCCTCTTAATCATTCTGACCACTTAATCATTCTGCACCAAACCATTCAGCAATTGTCAAACAGCCCCTAAATCTTATAAAGCAACTAAAATTGTAATATTTTCCACTAATTATAACTAAACTTACAAGATCTTCATAGAGTAGTTTCTTGTTCTCATTAGATCTCTTGATCCATGCTCCATACCATACAATCTGAACACCATAAAACCATCAATTAGTATATAAACCGAATAAATCTTAAATACAAACAAACAAATTTGAGATGGATAACTGTTACCGATTCAAACAGCATCGGTAGCAGTTGTCCACCTCCTTGGATAAAAAGAAATAACATAAAAACAAAGGTGAAACTTAATCAGGGTTGCAAGCAATCTGACCAGGGCTTTGTTAGAAAATTGGAGTTTGAATTGGATCTGAGTTCGATCATGTTGAATTTTAATAAATTCGAGTTTGAGTACAAATACGATACTAATACGTATATAAGAACCTGACTTGAGTTTTTTTTTTCAAATCATATGTATATACATAATTGATGGCTCATACAGAACTGAATTAAGTGTATTTTCTCCAGTCGAACTCTAAACAGTTGAACTCGTAATTTTATCAAACATTTATAGTTTTGATGAACGTTTTTGAGCTACGTACAAACCCTTGTATCGTTATTGAGTCAGAGCACGAATCTATATCAATTGGGCTATCAAATTAAGTTGGATCGAGCATAGGTTAGTACCATCTATTTAAGCGAGGCATGCCTATTAAGCCCCAAGCGGGCACTGTGCATATGCTCAACTTATTTTTGTAAGTAGAATTTTTTTTGGTATGAAAGGTGTACTGTCTAAACTTTAATAGGTGCTCTTGTATATTAGAAAATACAAGAAACATCAACCAAAAAACCGAAAAAGTCGCTCGAAATCAACCAATAAAATTAAAGAATCCCTCGAAACAGTCAAATTTGACTAAAAACACATTAAACGACTTTGCAGGCTTTTGATCCACCTTAAAAATACACCTGCTTAACGAAAATCTTGGGTCAACCACTCACTTAAGCTCATAAGTTTAAACTCAACTTGCTTAGAATTCTAGATAAAACGTAATAATTAAAACAAATTAAGACTAAGGGGCCTTTTACTAAACTCTTGCTTGGTAAGTGCTTACCGAATAAATTTTCTCATCGGATGAACATGACAAGCATGCACCAAGAATCTTACCGGGTAAGAACGATGAGAAAGATATAGAGTCTTACCCAGTGAGTGAAAATGATGACTCTTACCAGGTAAGTGTTTACCCGATAAATTGTTGCATTCGATACGTTTTGATGTACTAAAATCTTACTCATCAAGATAAAATATAGTGTTGACTCCTATAGGTAAGCACTTACTGGGTAAGCATTTGGGTAAAAAACCCTAAATCATGAAAGAAAAACATATGAACAAAAACAACAGAAAATTGGATCTACTTCCCCGAGATAGCATCAAGAACAAAACTTTCAGCTGTTCTTTTTCAAATCTTTCTAATTAATACATATATATATATATATATATATATATATATATATATATAGATAGATAGATAGAGAAAGAGGGTCGGGTTCAACTAGAAAACGTTAACCAAATAACACGAAAACGGCCAAATCACATATGATTTTACACTAAAATGATATGTGATTACGCGTAACCTCGACTATTCCGTAATCTCATGTGATTTCAGTGTAAAAATCACATGTAGTTCTCGTTTGATTCTACATCTGTATATGTGTGTGTATATATATATATATATATATATATATATATATATATATATATATATATATATAAAGAGAGAGAGAGAGAGGAAGATAGATATAGATACCATATTGCCATGGAGGCTATTGAAGATGGAAGAATGAATGCAACCAAGTCTTTCAGTGAAGAAAGAAAAGTGTTTTAGAGTATGGAGAAGATCATCAACAATGGCGACTGTTGGCCTTAAAACACACATGAATATGTCCAGATTCCTATTGGTGAAAGGCATGAAGCAAGCCATCTAATTTCTTCAAAATGGATGGAATGGAATTGAGAATTGAATGGATGGAATGGAATTGAATTGATGAAGGTGGGAGATATAGAAGAAGAATCAAGCTGCAGTGCTGTTCAATCCATTAAGCGTTGAATTCCTGAAAGGAATGCTCTTTCAGTCGCATTTGGCTTCTTATTTATTTTATTTGCCTCCATGCATATTAATCATTCCTAGAAGAGGTTTACTTTGCAAACCACGTTATTTGTATAAATCGTACAAACCTTATTCAACTAATTATTAATTTTTATTTTGTTCATTTTTTTTTGTAATTATGAGAGGTTGATTAATCATTTTTATTGTGGAGGGTGTTAATCATGGATATTATCATCTTCATTATTTTAATTTTAGAGAAATTACATGAAACAGTTTCATTAAAATTTCATTAAGTATTATATAAAACAATTTCACAAAATTAAACAATTTTTTGAAAAAATTTCATAAGATTAAACAATGAAATCGACGGATGAAGGTGGTTTGCACGGTTTGTACAAATTAGGTGGTTTGCATTTGATCGCTCCCCCTCTCTCTCTCTCTCTCTCTCTCTCTCTCTATATATATATATATATATATATATATATATATATATATGGGCAGGTTTTTTTGATAACCTAATAATTAGTGTTAACTTTGTGAATCAATATTGGCCCTTGATTTTTAAAATCTACGGATGAAATCAATTGTGACATATTTATAATTAATTAAAAATGAAGGATATCAAAACATCGTTGAACAGGGATATTTTTGGGAGAGATATCCAAATCGGTTACAAATCAATAATTAATTAATTACATCGGTTACAAATCAGTAATTGCTCATTCATTTTATAGTTCGTAGAATCACCCGTGTTGGATTATGATCACATATGAATAACATATATGTAACTTATTAACTAATCTTAGTTCGTGGCTTTCACATATGAATAAGGGATTACTTATGAACACTAAAGTAATTGACTCTCATACATGAATACAATAATGTATGATAAAAGTGTGTCGCTTGTGAACACATATTGATCAAATGTTAGATGTATATAGATATTGTTTTATGAACACATGTGAACAATATATATCGTATGAACATTGGCGACTACATATATGTTAAAGACAAAACATCCAAGTTTCTTATCATATTAAAATAACAAGTCATCTATGATTTGGAAAATAAATAAACATATTATTTTAGCTATAATCATGGGATTGATGTTTTTGTAACCGCCCATTAATGAATGTGAAGTTAAAAAAAAGGATTATCATTGTGTCATCAATATTTACTGTATGGTAATAGAAGAACCTAATCTAACAAAGACTTGTGATTGGTTTAAATGGTTTATATAGCTAATATCTTTTTCATGGTTAACAAATGATCTTAGCTCTCCCTCTCTGTGTGTGTGTGTGTGTGTGTATATATATATATATATAATGTGGTAATCATTTGAGAACCTAATTATTTGTGAGAACCATCTAATCATATATATGGATTCAATGAGTATTCACAATATGAATTACCATATTTGAGTTTAATGTTTGAAATATAAAACACAATGGTTTAAGTTCAGTAAGTAATCACCGTGTGAATCACTATGTAAGGTTTAATGGCGGGGACCTCATGGCCCCGTGGTCCACATTTTGTGAACCTTACTTGCCATACCTCATAAGCAAGCACCGGAAAAGACAACCTGTCCTCCCCTGGAATGAACCCGGGTGGGCACGCCCAAGGCAAGGCATTTACGGAAGGAGGTGGCCACTAGGCCAAGGCCTAATGGTTGTGAATCACTATGTATGTATTCAACCTATATGGTTATAAATGAATCTTACAATTCTAAAATCCTTCTCTCTGTCTCTTTATATATAGAGAGATTCGGGTTCAAATGAGAACGGTATCCATCTAAAACAATAACAAAACAGTTGAATCACATGTGATTTTCACTAACATCATATACAAAATCCCATGTGATTCATGCGATTTTGCCCCGCGACCCGAAAACGCGGCCAAAGTTGTTTGCACACTTTTTTTTGCCGTTAATGTAAAATCACATGTGATTTTTTGCACATGATTTGATCATTCTCGTGTTTTCTTAAATAATTAGTATTTTCATTTGATTTTTCATCTCTCTCTGTACATGTGTAATATATGTATATATACCAGATGTGTACTCGAGCAATACAGCAAGATATATCTCGATTTTAATGTTTCATTTTATTTTTTTGGTCTCTGTCGATATTATAATACATACTTATGTGGTTTTGAGTAAAGAATAATGTTTTTTAATATGAATTAGAAAATATCATAAAAATTATAAAAAAATATATAAAATTTTGTGTAATTTCTTTAATTCAATTTTTTCATTATAATTTAATTTAGGTTTAATGACGAAATAATCTGTTTTTGGTTTAATGATATAGTTTTTATAAAGATAATAATTAAGTATTCTGTTAGAACTCAATAATTATCATAATTATGTTTTAAATATATTTAAAATGAGACTTTTATTTTGTATTTGATTATATTTATCTACTCTTAGTTACACGAATTCAAATATGGAGCTTAATAAGTTATACCTATGCAATATTTACCTGTGATCTTGAATTCTAAGTAATATGTATCAATATGCAGTATTTCATGTATAAAAGATGGTTTTTAAGAGTTTTTATCAAATATTTTATAATATAGTATAKATATATATATATATATATATATATATATATACATATATATATATATATGTGTGTGTGTGTGTGTGTGTTTTTCTAACGTGTTTGACAAATTGTCACATATTCATGAGTTTCTAACGTGTTTACAATAATACGATTCAACATATTCCTTTTGAAACCTAGCTACAAAATAAAAATGAGCCACGTATACATATAAATGTTCTAGATAAACAAACTCTTACTAATTTAGTATATTGTCTTTTCATTAATATATATGTATATATAGACTTGACATAACGTGAAACCAAGAATTTTTTGTGAGATTCGTAAGACCAATTCTCACAATTATCATAATATATGAAATTCTCATGTTTACATGTAACCAACATAGAAGTTCATCATTGGTCTTACGGGTCTCACGAAAAACTCTCAGTCTCACATGATCTCAAGTCTGTCTGTCTGTCTGTCTGTCTGTCTGTCTGTCTGTCTGTCTGTCTGTCTGTCTGTATGTATGTATGTATGTATGTATGTATGTATGTACACACACGTACGTAGAGGGTCATTCAAAAGAGAAGTCGGTATTTTCTGAGATCCAATCTCAAACACAAATTAAAATTTAAAGTAGAAAATTAATAATTTTGATAATTTTAACTTAAAATTTTAAATAATGGTATTTATTTAAAGTTTATAGTGTTGTTTCATATACGAACTTTGATTGTTCCAATTTTTTACCTAAGCTCACAAATAAAATTAGAAAATTTATTGACGAAACAATAATTTTTATTTAAAATTAATAGGTGAAATAATATTTTTTGTTTTATTTAAATGGGAAAAATCTATAAAGTAAAAAACTAATAAACATTTTTATTTTAAATAATTGAGTAATTAGATTTTTTTAAATAAATTATTAAACTTTTTTATTTTAAACAAATAAGTCCTTCAATATTTTTTAAATAAAAAACAATTAAACTTTTAAAAATTGGTTACTTTTATCATTTTAACCTAAAAAAGACACATATAACCGTTGAAAAGTTTTAAAGTAAAAAAAAAATTAAATCTGTTTTATTGTTCTTAAAAATTACGTCATTTAAAATCCTTACACCCATTGTTTGCTTCTCTCACCATGCCATCGCTGAAAACCTAAGGGTTCATCCACAAGGTTTGTGTCCGCTCTCCGTCACTACCCATCGTTGACGTTTGGCGCTGCCATCGATCTCCCTCTCTTTTATCATTTTCTTGTTTTCCAGTTCTTATGCTTTTTTCATCAAATGATATGTACTCCGTTAAATTGTTGGAGAAGAAGAATCAAAAGACAGAAAAGGTAAATCAAGAAAAACAAAATCGATTGTAGGGGCAAAGACGGTGATGGAGAGCGAACGACAATTAGACGTGAGACGACTAGGCATGGAAAGGGGGAACAATGCTGTTGGATGTGAGAGGTTTGAATGACACAAAGTTTGTGAATGGTAAAATTGATTTAGTGTTTTTTTACTTTAAAACCTTCCTAGCCGGTTACATGTAGTTTTTCTTTTTGAGTTAAAAAAATATGTAGATAACCAATTTTTAAAAGTTTAATGAAATTTTTTTCAAAAAGAAAATTCAAATACCCCATCATTTAAAATGGAAAAGTCCAATAATTTATTTATTCAATGAAAAAGTTTATCGTCGTTATCTAAATTTTTCTAATTAAATTTCTTATTTTCAAGCAATTTATTATCAGATGACAAAGAAAATAATCTGTGTATAAAAAATTGTCCAAAAAAATTAATTTATATTATTTTTAGAACAACTTAGAGTCTGTTTACTTTTGACTTAATGAACTTAATAGTTTGCTGGACTTATTAAGACAACCATATTAGGGTATTTACTTAGAGCTTAATGAAAATTTTGTTGTCTTATTTGCACAGTTAAAAAACCTCACTTGTCCACGTTCAACCAACAAAATGACTCGTCCTATCCCTCGGTTAAACACGCTCAATACAACCTTAGAACCTCTTTTCCCCTGCAACCACTTTGCACGCCCACTACAACGCTGCAACCGGTGAGACCTCTTTTGTTTCTCCGACGAGAAAGTTCCTTGCAACTCGTGAGGCGACGACCGTCACTTCTTTGTTCCCCGACAACCTCGCTCCCCTGGTCCCCGCTCTTATGTGTGTTCCTTGCAACCGACAGGCCTCTCTTCTATGCATCCCCTTCTTTCATCGTTGCTTCTCCACACAATCAAAACCCTTGCATCACCAAGAACAACACCTAAAATCAAAACCCTAATCTTTTTCGATTTTTCTTGGTGTTTTGATATCTTGTTGGACATTGACCTCTGAATCTTCTTCCCCCATCTTGTTCTTTGATATCTTGTCGGTTTGTTGCTAATTTGTTGATTTTTTGAACTTTTTTTTTAATATCTTGTTGGTTTTTTCGCTGAATGTTTAAGATTTGATT